TGTGTGTGTGTGTGTGTGTGTGTGTGTGTGTGTGTGTGTGTGTGTGTGTGTGTGTTTATACATGTTCCTTTGTCTGGAATAGCTAGCAAAAAAATAGAAAGAAAAACAGGAAGTTCAAAACAAGAGATATGCATTATCAACTAAATTAATTCCTTCAAGTAAACTATTACCTAAGGAAGACAGGCTCAGAAAGGGTGTTCATTCAAACTTGTTTACTTTGCCCTCAGCTAAGAGAACAGAAATCTTTCCTGGTCTTCTGTAGTGACTCAAATATAAATGTAATGTTTTTTTTACCTACCTGCCCAAGAAACAGAAGGGAAAATATCTGTCCTTCACCCATAGACCTAGAAGAAATAAAGAAAATGTTTGTGGAGCTGTAGAAAAACATCACCAGCTACACTGGGATCTGGTGGTGTAAGTCACGTATAACCTGGTTTCTACACAAAAGCTCAGTTCTGGGTCTGGGTACACTGGCTGTGGACGTGTGCAAACATACAGTCTATGTTCTTTTGGGGGAGAGCGTGACTCACACTCACAGACAACATCAGGAAGGACACCAGGCTCCAAAGAGGAGACAAGAGTCTGTGTCAACTCTGAGACCTATGCTCCAGGGAAGTACAATGACCATTCGGAGGTAGCAGCTCCTCGTTTAAATGAACACTTTGTTGATAATGAAATCAGTGTAATGGAGAAAGGCTGTGGTTGGGTAATTTTTTCAGTAACTCACTATAGTGAAAAGAATTCTTGACACAATTTGAAGATGAGATTCTAAGTCTGATGTGTATAGCCCACTTTGAACAAGTAGGACAACCCCCTCAACTATAAAAGGTTCTATGTTCATTTTGAAGTGAAAATACTAATATTTTTTCTTTCACCACACAGAATACTTTAAAATTGTACATAAGGTCTTAAAAGTGAAGCTATAGTGACTCAAAGCTTCCTTTCATGGGATTGCATAAAAGAAAATATTTCTTTCCTGAAAAACACCTGTAATCATTCCACTCATTTTCTTTTTAAAGGGAGGAATGTTTTTTTCTGGATCACATCTCAAGGATAAATTCTATAACAGCAAGGTCATTGAGGCAGCAGTAGCTTTAAGCAATTTGTCACGTTGCACTCACTTTAAGACATTTTTAAGGATTATAATTATGTTATCCCTCCCCTTTCCTTTCCTCCAACCAAGCCCTTACATGCATCCTCCCTTACTCTCTTTCAAACTCACGGCATTTTTTTCTTTAGGTTTTTTTACTTGTGTGTGCGTGCGTGCGTGCGTGTGCGTGTGCGTGTGCGTGTGCGTGTGCGTGTGCGTGTGCGTGTGCGTGTGTGTGTGCGTGTGTGTGTGTGTGTGTGTGTGTTGTGTGTATTCCTCAATATATAAATATACCTTGCTTGGTCTGAATTATGTTGTTTTATGTATGTTCTCAGGGCTGACCATTTTGTATTGGATTACTGATTGCTGGGCTTTTCTCCGAGGAAGACTGTTTTCCCAGCTCTCAACATCCCTTAGTCATCTGGAGTTTTGTCTATGGTGGAGGCCTCTTTAGCTTTTCCCCTTCCACAATTAGTATGTCTACTGGTGTTGTTCTTGTTCAGGTCTGGCTTAGGCAGCCACTTTAGTGAGTCTTCATAGGTGCAGCTTCTCTGACTTCTCTAGGAGACACAATCTCACAGCAAACTTTCTGATCATCTGGCTCTTACAGTCTTTCTGCCTCCTCTTCCAAAATGACCCATGAGCCTTAGGTGCAATTGTGTTGTAGATAGAACAGCTTGGGCTTCACAACTCTGCGATCCTATCCATTGGAGTCTTTTATAATAGCCTCCATCTGTTGCAAATAGAAGTTTTCTTGGTGGAGGATGATAGCCGTACATTTCTGTGGGTATAAGGATAAATATTTAGAATCTAGTTAGGGATTATGCTGCTTTATTAAAGTGGAGGTTATAGGTTCTCTTCCAAGATCCATGGCTTTACTAACCCTATGGAGTTTGCCAGGTTTCCAATATCAGGCCCAACCTCCCTTTCTTTGAGCTGGCCTTACATTCAATTAGAGAGCTGCTGTTAACATCAAGGTACGTGTGCCACGACTGCACCCTCAGGGTTTTTGTACCATGCTGATTGTTGCTGTGGTTAATAGGCATCATACCCAGGCAGAATTTGGAAGCTTGCATGGAGCTTTCTGGTACCATTAAAGTTAGTCCTCAGTGAGGAGCTTTCAGGTCAGATCCAGTGCAGGGTCTTCTGGGTCCTATGTCCAACGCATTTAGTGTCTTCAGCAATAGGGACTTAGTCTTTCACCTCTGGGAGGCAAACAAGGACAATATCAAATAAGGGCAATATCAATTGCCTAGAATGTTTTCAGAGTCTCTTAGACAACTATGACCAACAACTCAAAGGAAGTCTTCTAATGCCTGGTGTCGGGGTTTTCTGTTAGATAGTCTGTGGCTCTTGCCATGTGGGAAAACTTCATTTAAACCACATACATGTATGAGCACAAAGACTGGTGTGTATTCCATGTTAATAATATATTTTTAAATAAATATATATTACATATAATATATTACATATATTCATAATAATCCATTCTTGTGTATTCTTGTTAATAATATATGTACAGTCAGGCATTTGATCAGAAACTTGTTTTCACTTAAATATACGTCTTGGAAAATAGATGGGAGGAGTATTCACATAGCTCCCAGGTATAGCTAATGGGACCACCAGTGCTTATGAAGCACACTTGATATTTGTTGACCATCCAATCTAGCTACCATCATCTCATAAAAGTAATGGAAGAATACAATTCACACATGAGCACTTTTTTATCACCACCTGGCAAATACTAGGTATGTCTTCTGTAAATTACACATTAAGAAACGTGAGATTTAAGAAAGGACGCATTTAATTGCAAATATATTTTAGAAATCTACAATGACAGGATAAAAGAGTTTAGGAGCTAATAAAGGAAATTGGGGATGATAGAACTTTCTCTTTCAATCTCAAGATGATTTCAGATAGACACTCCAAAGAGGTACATGAAGTACAGTGACAAAATCACTGATAAAAATGTCCTTCACCTTCCTTGATATTTACACTTGAAAACTTATGATATTAAGTTTTAGATTAACTTGTGGTATTTATTTTAAGCTGTGGTAAGCAGATCTGTTATGCAATTGTTTGGATTTGAGGCCACATGCAATCACTTCAACTCTCTTGCTTTATGTAATTGTCTGTTTGCCTGAGAGTTAAAAATCAAACTCTCTTCTCATGGCTTCATTTAGTGGTTTAAATATGTTTTATGGCTTATGAAGCATTGCACATACCTTGTTTTGCTGTGAAAATGTTGTTGCTTGTGTCATTTGGTTGGGGGGGCACATTAATTTCTTAATCAGTTATAGAAGGTAATATACAAAGGATTTTTCTCAGTTTTAAACATAAATATGAGGATGTTCCAGCCAGCAAAGAAGGGATTGCTGGTTATTATCTAAAATGTTTATAAATCTTGTTCTCAGAGGGGCTTTCCAGCTGGGTGGGTTATTTTAGTGAACATGCCAGTAACTAAATATATTTAAATTTTAAAGTTTTTATGCATACCAGATTACATGATACTATGAATTCCTTAAAACTGTTGATTAAAATAGTTATTTGTGTAGAGTTGAGTTGGTTACTAATTTTTAAAAATTCATTGCCAGATTTAAAAGTTGCCTTCAAAAGTGCTATGCTGTAAGACATAATCTCTCTCTCTCTCTCTCTCTCTCTCTCTCTCTCTCTCTCTCTCTCTCTCTGTGTGTGTGTGTGTGTGTGTGTGTGTGTGTGTATGTGTGGTGAGTGTTAAAAATTGTCTTTAGTCATAGCAATGGGAGCCTTGAATCATGGATTTTTTTTTCAATTTAACATGTTAAAATTCAAATTATAATTGAAGAGTTAAATTTTGACACATAAAGTGTCAAAGTATTTGACACTTCTAAGAACCAAAGTTCTCACACTCTCAGAAATGAATGACAGAAGCAGTTGGTCACTTCACCCTCCCATTAATAGAAGTGTGAGGGGAAGATTCTTTCTGCTTAGTCCAAATGTGGACATGAGTTCACCTTCAGCAAAGCTCATTCACATGCTCACACATCCGCTCTCCACACACCCAGAGTTTAGATCAAACAGCCCTGCTGAGCAGCTTGCCCGTTGCATTCTTCATGAAAATAAAATAATTGAGCTTTACAGGGACCATTCAGCTGTTCTGTCTGCCAATATTGAACAGCATTATATTCCAGAAGTTAAAAGGAGAGAACGTGGTGGTGGAAAGCTACCTGGCCAAAGTCCTGTCCTTACAGAGGTGATCTTTTGGAGACTGTTGCAGACACTAAGCAAGTAAATGAAGGACAGATTGAAAGAGGATAGAAACAGAAGGATTTACAGTTTTGGAGTTTTTCAAAACTTTGGAGCATTTGCTCAGATATGAGCTGAATATCATTAATCTGAAGCTAACCCTTCTCCAAAATCTGAAACTGTAATGAATCTGCTAATTTCAGAATGTGACTAAAAATAATTTCTAATACAACAAAGGCTACAAACTAAATAACATAGAATGGTATAGCAGAGTGCCTGGCGGGGTGGAGACACAGTGGAAGATTTGGATCTGTGAGAGGGTAACACTGAGCTTTTAGAAAGCCCTGACTCCAGGAGGCAGGCCCACAAGAGCAAAGTCCATCAAAGAGATGCACACTAGAAGAATAAAGTTAGCAACATGTCTTCAGTGTAACTGGTATGTGTAAAATTCAGATCAACCATTTACATTGATTTATCATAATTTTGTCTATCTTAATACAGAAATGTCCTGGCTAGTATTGCCATGTCTGTGGCTCAATTATTCACTCAAATAAAGGCTGATCTTATCACAACAGCACCAAAAATATAATTTCTAGAAGGACATAGTATTTGGGGAGCATTGTGAAAGTAGAATATCTGCTTACCACATGCTTTACCTACGATACGTTTCATCAGATCAAATACAATGGGACAGTCTACCTTGGACTGGAACCTCCAGAACCATGAACCCAAATAAACTTTATTTTGTAACTTAACTTTTCTAATTCTTTTGACATAGTTGCAAATAATGGGCCAGCATAATTTGTATCCCAAGAAAGTCATCCAATCTTGTGGAATTCTACACACTTTAGAAAGGTGGTCACCTTCTGGACTTAGGGCCAATTGATACATGCAATTTTCTTTCCAGTGGCATTTGACAGGTCACTGCCATAGCTTGGCATGATGCTTTTTATAGCCTTTTTATTCCTTAAATACCAATAAACTATTTTTAATTACAAATTTAAATTTAATTCTCATTACAGTTTATTTTATTATACAGTCTGTGGTTTACTTTTAAAACATCAAAGTAAAAACCAGAGGAAAATACTCATCTAAGGAGCTAGAAAAAAATTAGAATAAAATTCTAAAAAACACTTTAATATCATTTAAAAGTAGGTAATACACAAGTCTAATATCTGGTAAAACATTAAGTGATGCTACTTTTTTAAAAAAAAATGTTTTCAGATATTTAAAAAAAAAAGTGTTTTCCTTAAGTTAGTTTGTGTAACCTAACTCCCCAGAGTCAGCTGTGAAGGCTGAATTTAACGATTATTTTAAAGGACCCAACAAAGTGAACTCACTCAGTAAATAATGTGATGACCTATGAACTTACCTTAAAGCAAATGTCTTAGATGCATCTGATAAGGATGGTGCTGTAGCATAATCAAAAAGACAGAACATACCTGGGCTGTGGGCATAACCAGAAACTAATTCAAATGCTGGTCCTCCTTCTTGAATGTTCTTCTTCAATTCTCAATTGATAGCCAGACCTGATGGCACAGCTACTCAGGTGGCTGAGGAGAAAGCAACAAGTTCAAGGCCTGAGTTGGTTACACAATGAGCTCAAAGCATCCTGGGCAATTTAGTGAGACCTTATCTGAAAACTAAAAACAAGAGAAGGAAAAGAAGGCTGAAGGCTGCAACTTGGCACAAGAGCTTACTTAGTGCACATAAGGTCGTAGGTTCAATCATCAGCACTTACAGAATAAATAAAAACAAGAGTTGATACTAACTTCTAAGGTCTGCTATGAAAATTGAATGAGATCATTATTTTAAAATCCCAGAAAGATTGATACCATTCAATAAAGTATTCTTTTCTAGCCTCTACTGCTCACCTGCAGCATGAATATACTGGGAACTAGTTCTTATTAATGGAAAACTTTTAGCACTCTTGAATATTCTTAATATTCTGAATTAGACAATCTCTTGGAAAAATTACTTATGTAATTCTGCTTTGCTTTTCTAAAAAGTGAAAGTTTTGTTACATCAATCTAGGTGATTGATGATTAAGTTTCAAGAGCATATGGCTTCCTTCAGAACAGTCTATTAGAAAAAGCAAAAAAGCTTTTTTCCATATGTACATTTGATGGTTTCAAGAAATAAGCTGTTTTGAAAAGCAAAGGCTATATAGATTGAGCATCTTCTTAGAATGCAAAAGCAGTGCTAAGGTTATAATCCTTGGGAAGTATAATGGAAGAGGCCTATGAATCGAAGTTCAATGGATGAAGAATTAAACACCTCCCTTTAGCTTAGACATAAAAATGAAAGAGTCAGTTTATGAGAAGAAAATAATGAATAAAAGTAAGTGAAAGTAGTGTTAGGGTTGAACCCTCATTAAATTTTACAACGCTCTCTCTCTCTCTAATTCTTTCCTTGTGGGAATACTTGCACATGCCCTGAGTACATAATAAAATAAAGGGTCATGAAGGTAGGAGTCAAGGCAGTTTTGTCCCTAAATCTTTAAATGAATTACCATACAGTATAAATGTTAAGTCATTCCTATACTGAATCATCATGTAATAATGCAAGAGTGTTGTTCCTTCCAAATGCATTGATTAATATAGTAGTTCAATTTAGGTTTAAAGAGATGACTAAAAGATACTTACAGTTAGACAGATATTGTAGAGCAAGGTGACTATAGTTGATGGTGATGGGTTGTATTCTTAATAATGAAGAGAGTGGACATTAAGCACTATTGTCACAAAATTAACTCTAGGTAATATGACCATTAACTGGGTTTAATTGTTTTATAATGCACATGTGCTCTAAAACATGATGTATGTAAAAAAAAATCCATGGTGCTATCCATCAGATTAAAAAAATTAAAATTTAAAGAAACATAAGTTCCCTTTCAAGCTGTGTCTCCTGATACTTACTAAGATCATAAGGTAGCAACTGTGGCCTCCTCATGTTCCGGATACTCATGAGCCGCGGGTCACTTTACTCCTGAGGCAGGACACAGTCATCAGCACTAAACAACAACAGCATGATAGGTGGGCCTGCCTAAACATGTCTGTCTGCCCATTTTCCTTCATGGGTCATGGCAGCTCAGACAGTCTGCAGTGAAAGGAAGAAGGGCACTCATTATTTCAGAAGCTTATGGTTCTGCTTTTATTTCCAAAGAACATGATTTGGAGGCTTTGAAAGAAGGTCTTAGCCAAATTCTGACACATCCCAGTCAGCTTCGTTTGCCTCTCTGGAGAGTGTTGTGCAGCTTCCCACTGCTCAACAGTGCGTGAGCGAGTGAGCAGGGTGAGTTCTCACACTGATGCATACTCAGACTGAGCTTCTGAGCACTGTGGACCCGGAAGCAGAATTAGGGGGCATGAACCCACCCTTCATCCCGGGTGACATGCACAGTGGTAGGGTGAAGGAAGCAACTGCACTAGAGGCTGGTGTCCTGACACCTTGCTAGTTGTGATGAATTCCTTCACCATCCTTCAGTTACAAAAGGATAATTCTCACTTTAAAAGATTTGTATGTGTGATAGCATAATAAAACAGTATAAAATTATGCATAAATTGCAGAGAACTATAAATAAGACATATTTTATTCTAGGTGGGAAATGTCAAACCACATTCAGCTTTGATATTAATACAGTCTTCCTCATTTATGAATTCCAGCACTTCTTCAGAATAAAGGGCCTTTTTCTAACCTGACTGGTTGTTTAGGACTGTGTTGTCCTAAAAGTTTATATTGGAAGAATGTCTCACATTCACAAGTTTTTTGGAATTCATCTATAAAATATATTTGTGTTTCTATAAAATGTATCATTATGAATACTGTTACGTTACTGAGAATTAATTACTGGATCTATTAACCTAATTGTAAATTAACATTATGATATTCATTCAGTTCAGCCCATAACCATGCTAACTCATTTCCTTATTAAATTACCATTGCTAACATTGTTTAGTATCCAGTTATGGCATCACTAGAAATCCTAAGTGCATGAAGTACTTTTTATTCTAGGAAATGTGATAAGCTTCAGTCAACATTCAGTCATGTCTTCCACAAGCATAGAAGAACAAGACTAGTTTAACAACATCTATGATTTTGATATTTTATTTTTATATTACAATAAAATAAAACAATTAGAGCTGACGTTACCCTGTTAGACATTTTTTACAATACCACTTATTTTGATATGTATACTTCCTGGTAAGCAGAGATGATGAAACAGTGGACTATTACAGGGAGACAAGTTTCTATAAAAACCCATGGTGTCACTTAAGATCTCTGCTGCAGGCACAGGTGCGATTGGTTATTCCACATATCATTTCTCTTTTCAGAAACCAAAACTAAATAGGAGATCATGGCAAGTGCAGACTGGGGATATGATGGCAAAAATGGTAAGAGTACTTCTTTTACATATATCAAAATAGCAGCTTATTCCTGTTTTTAATATTGAATTTATTAACCATCTAACTTAACTGTATAGTCACAGGTTAATGGTTTGAGTCACTTATGAATAATTACAATATTCTTGTATGTATTTTTAGTAGTTTGTTTTGAGGCATGAAGATCTACAAAATATATTTGATATGTACATACTGTTTCTACACTATTATTATATAGACAGCATAATTAGGCCTGTATTGTTGATGTTGCCAAATATACTGTTTACTAGTATAGCAACAAAAGATACATTTTCAAGCACTGAATGTCATTTAAGAGTCCTGAATAAACCATAATCTAATAAGCAAATGGTTAAAGTCCTGATGTTTGGAATGAAGCATTCTGTAAAATTGTGGTTACATGCATATGTTTGTTCTCATAGGTCCTGACCAATGGAGCAAGCTGTATCCCATTGCCAATGGAAACAACCAGTCTCCTATTGATATTAAAACCAGTGAGGCTAAACATGACAACTCTCTGAAACCTATCAGTGTCTCCTATAATCCTGCAACTGCCAAAGAAATTGTTAACGTGGGACATTCCTTCCATGTAGTTTTTGATGACAGTGGTAACCAATCTGGTGAGCCCAAAAAAAATTATGATGTTTGTTTCCTTAGAATCTACTAAGTGAATTTTTTTGTTGAAAATAGATTCTTCTCTCTTATAATACATCCCGACTACAGTTTCCCTTCCCTTCACTGCTCCCAGATCCTCCCCACCTCCTCTCTCACCCAGAGGTATTCCTCCACTTCCCTTCCAAAAAGAGCAGGCCTCAAAGAGACAACAACCAAACATAACAAAACAGGATAGAAAAGACAAGGCAAAGGTACTCATATTGAGGCCAGACAAGGCAACCCAATATGAGGATGAGTCCCAAGAGCAGGCAAAAGAGTCAGAGTAGCTTCAGAAATACCACAACATCCTATGTATTTTGCACGTGTATTTGTGTATCTTAAAATTGCAATGGCTGGGAGGCATTGTGGCCTCTTGGAAGATGATTTGCCAAGCTCCCAGTTCTGCTTTCTCTCAATCCTTCTTCTAAATGAGCCGTCTTACCTATTCTACCCATTCCAGGCTCTATATGCTTATTTCTCTGAAAAAGCAACTTTTCTCCATAAGAGTCTAGTGATTAAATCCTTATGGGCATGAAAACAAAAAGGAAATATTCTAAACAGGATGAGAGTAGGTGATTAATGAGAAGACAGGTGAAGCATGAGTTCCCCTCATACTGATAATCTGGCATGTTGCTTACCACATGGTCAGATTTTCATCAGTATTTATTAAGTAAGCTAGTAAGTCACTGTTCTGTAAGAGTTCCAGTGATGTGAAGCACTATGCTTGCTCTACTTTCCCACAAAGTTCTAATTGTAAATGTTAGGTTCCTTAGGGGTGTGCCCTTTGCTAGCACTAGGTTAGATCTAGTATTTTTACTGCTTAAGTAATTGTATGATTGGATATACTTGCCAGGCTGGACTGTCATTCAGAGCAGAAGTTTTTAAAGTGGCTTTGCCCATGGGCAGTATCTCTTGGTCCCTGTTCAGAGGGTCTCAACAAATTTGTCAAACTACACTCTTGTATCTTCAATGATTATTAAAAAACAGGTGATGGGGAATTTTTTTCACTAATAGAAATTGTGCATAATATCCACACAATAAGGTTGAATGAAGGAATAAACTCGCAAATTAATGGAGATCCAAGGAAAACTGTGATAATATAACTTACTCACTTTGAAATATGTCATTTTGGTAACATAAACAGGTAAACTTTTGGTTCCTTTGCTGTAATTTTTGTATATTTCATGAGCTATATTATTGCTGCCATTATCAGGAAGGCACTATATATAAGAGTCATTATCAGAGATGTGGAGTGGGAAACACGAGGAAAACAAACAGTTGACACCCACTGGTGTTTGTTTCTATTGAATGTGGACTAGAGATCGCCTGGCTGACAGTACCTCTCTTTCCTTCAAGTTCTGAAAGGTGGCCCTCTCTCTGGTGACTATCGGCTCACCCAGTTCCATTTTCACTGGGGCAACTCAAACGACCATGGATCCGAGCACACCGTAGATGGAGTCAAATATTCTGGAGAGGTAATGTGATGTGTTAATGCGAGACAGTTCATGAGAGTGCTCCAGAAACAGTTCTGGTACTAGAGAAGCTATTATCAGAATGACTCAATGAGGACAGCTTGCTGGTCTTTGTATAAAAGATGTATAAATCTATTAAAATCAAACACTGGCACACCATATGTTGCAATAGAGGGATATTTTTCTATGGAAAGAGATGGCTGAAGTTGTAGGTGAGAGTTCATGAAAAACTTTGACATTTTACCACCTTCAATGATTGTTCTACCATTATTTAAGTCTCTGAACTAGAGAGTTTTCTCACAGGTTATAAAATATATACAGTTTATTGCAATAGAATTGGATGCTAAGTGATTGAATACAGCTATAACTTGTTTAACTTAAATTTGTAAAGTTTAAATAATACCTATCAGTGTTGCAGAAGGCAATAAAAACTCATTCCTAGTTTCCCTCTGCAAAACTAAAGGTAGAATAAAGTGGAAAGGAAGCCTAAAGCATTATGGTTTAGGAAGGATACTTGTAAATATTCATGGAATCTAAATCAGGGATTATATTCACTCAGCTAAACTGAGAAAAAAATCTAATCCAATGATGAGAAACACTTAGTCACAAAGTCCAATGTGTTATTTAATATTCAGCTCAAAAACTTGTATGGGGTATGCACCAGTTTCAAGAGGCAATACAGGTGATGGGTGACAAGTGCAAGCTCTTCTTGCCTACAGAGTTGGGTATACAGCATTAATCTTCTCATACACTTAAGCCAGCTTCCATATTATAAGTACTCAATAACATTACCTGTAGTTCTACAGAGGAGAAAACATGTGAATCAATGTTGGAGATTAAGTAAATTGTACTAAATGGCAGTATAAGTGCTTACAAAGAATTGTCAGTGAGTGGGAAGGATAAATGACAATAAGACAATGCTTGAATTAGGACTGGGGACTGATCTTCCTCAAAGAGAGTGTTCTAATTACTTATATATCAACTACTGAGTCTTTGTAATATACTGTATTTTTGTTTTTAAAGTAACTGAGTCAGAACCTACATTTTGTAGGGGAATGAAAACCTTTTAAAAGAAGTGAAGATAAGAAGGAAAGAGAGGAGTAGAGAGAAAGAAGAGATCAGATAAATGTATGAAAATAATAGACTTGAAGATGGTAACTCTATATTGGGTAATCAACTCATTGAAGTGTGGCATTTGAATTCAGTCCTAATTGTAGAGAAAAAGGAAGGAGATTCCAGGAAGTCAGCAGCTAATACAAAAACCCCAAATTATGACCAAAGGAGGAGGTGTTCTCTGCTAGGCATAGAGGATGATAAATGTGTAAAGTCTGAGATTTGTAATAACAGTGGCACTTTTTGACTGAGCAATTAGGTGTATAGTGTTACTTTTCCTAAGAGGAGAAAATGACAAATGTGGTATGAGGAATCAATCTTTCCTTTGGCCACGTGATTCCTCAGACATCTGGTAGACACTTATATGAAGATATCAAGACAGTGTCAGGAACACATCCAGGTGCATGTGGATGCATAAGCCTAAAATTCCACCAAGAGTTTAGGCTGCAGAATTTGACTGAGGGGATCCTGGGAAGGACACCAATATACCCAAGCTTCTGAGCGGTCAAGGAGCTTCTTACAAAGTTATCTCATGTGAGAGAAAATGATTTTGCCTTTTATTCTAAAGTTTGTTGCCCACAAGATGAGGGCTCACATGTCTTTTATCTACCTGTACCGTGATATATCTTAAATATAACAAATTAACATGTAATTCATCTTCTGTCTTTTTATTTGCGTATTAATAATGAATTACATGTCACCACTTCCAGCTTCACATAGTTCACTGGAATGCTGCAAAGTACTCCAGTGTTGCCGAAGCAGTCTCAAAGGCTGATGGGATGGCAATCATTGGTGCTTTTCTGAAGGTGAGTCATAGGTAGTTGCATAGCTGTCACTTGATTTTTTAAATGGTAGATGTGAAACTCATCATTTAAATTTATATTATCATCTAAGAGATGCTCTGAAGAAAGCCATCATTAAGTTGGCTAAGACTGAATGACTAAATGACTTTTGAGATTACAGTATTTGGAGGTGGTTTTTATCAAACACTATTCAAAATATGACAAAAATGCACTGAGTATAACTAACATAACAGATAAAAATGAAGGTGCAATTTTTGTGTCACTGTTTTGATAAACATCTAGTCTGTCTTACATACTTCTGACCATTTAATTCATTATCAAATTTAAGCCATACTTTCTGTTTACTACTTTGTCTGTCATGAGAAACTGACAGAGTACAAGATCCATAAAAGTATATACCTCAGAAAATTTCCTCTCTTGGAGAGAAAGAAATTCCATTTTTCTCTCAACAGTCATTGATGTTAATAGAAAAATTAAATTTTGACTAAAGAGTGTTTTATAAATTACAATCTTCAACCCATATTTTCTTTTTCCTTTAATTCTCTAGGTTGGTCCAGCCAACCCAAACCTGCAGAAAGTACTCGATGCCCTAAACTCAGTTAAAACTAAGGTAAATAAGCTAAGTAAGCTAATTTAATCCTGGAAACAAGAGCACACAGAAGTACAGAAATCATCCAGTTGCCTGTTTGAAATGGGAAACAGGAAAACTGGTGTAGAAGCCAAGCAGCCACAAGGTGCCATGGAGACTTTGCTTGTCCTTGAGAACCTGATGTAGGAGTTGGTTTTGCTTTGTTTTCGTGGTGCTTGTTCTTAGTAAAGCATGTTGCTCAGTCACTTTTTGATCTGCTAAAAACCAATCATACTCAAGTTTGATTAGTTTTTGGCATATCATGTTTCATGAAAAGGAATATCTTGATTTCTTTAGTGATGTAAAAAAAAATGGCCCTGAAGAGTCCTATTTGAGAACTATGATTCTGAACTAAACTTAAAACCCTTAATGTAGTGTCTGAAATGTCCATCCTTAGCGCCACTGTTTTAACATTAACTCCTTATTCTGTAGGTCAAAGTGATTCGTCATTTTCTTTCATAATGAGGAGAACCATTATGTTTTTACTTAAAAATAAGTTTGTTTTATACTGAGGTCAGAAAAAAAACTGAGTGAGCATATTGTAAATTGAGAGATGGAAAATGAAAACAGAAGGGAATAGTGAGGAAAAAAGCAGAAAATAGTAAAATAAGAAATAAAATAAGATAAGTGCAAAACACTGTCTTATAAATAAATAAAACTTTATTCCATGGAATAAACACAGCAACAAAAAAATGATTTGGGCAGCTTTGGCAAAGGAAAGCTGGCACAAATACCAAATGCTATTATAGAGGGATTGGCAGAATGGCTAAGCAGGTGAATTGGTTGCTTGAGTTCTGAGAACCTACAGAGTAGAAGGGAAGAACTACCTCCCACAGGTTGTCCTCTGACCTCCACATGTGCATCCCCATGCATATGCCTACAGACAGATGCATGAATTAATTAACTAATAAGTGTAAGAAATTCTATTCAAAGCTTAGAAAAATAGTATAGATGTGGAAGAAAAAATTTGAAGCAAAAACTGCTTATAACAGTATACCAGTAAATTTGAACAGTCATAAAATGAGTGATATTTATGACAACACAAAATTATAAAAATGAAACAAAAGAAAAACCAAATAGACAAAAACTCTAAGAATAAGTTGAAAAGATAGTGAAAATATATCTATTAAACAAAAATTCCATGCCCAGTCCAATTTATAAAAAATTTACTCAACCTTTAAGAAACAATCAAGTAGGTAGATGGCTCAATAGATTTTTCCATGCAAAAAAAAAATTACCATGCAGACATGAGTGTCAACATTTATATCTCCAGAACCTACTTGAATGCCAGGGGTGCATGGTGTGTCCACTGTAATTCCAGAGTTTGGAAGAGAGAGACAGAATCGCTTGAGCCAGCTGCCTAGCTAGACCAGACTTAGCTGAGAGCTCTGGATTCCACTGAGAGACCTGCATATAAAATAATGTAAATAACCATCAAAAAAGACTCCAGCCACCAACCTCAGGCCTTTACATCCATACTCACACCTGCACATATGCCTTCATGTGAACATCAGTGAGCACACATACACATGTGCACACATACCACACACACACACACACACACATACACACACATAAACATACAAAATACCAATGAAGTACAAAAAAGGAGAAAGGATAAATCATGTAGTGTCAACTAAACATTTGCCCAGGTGAAGAGACAGAAAATTCCTATCAGTCTAGTGAAATCTAGTACGCAAATTGGGTAAAGAAGTTTGCAAAAAGAAATTTGTAGCACAATCTTTCCTAATAGTATGGCTGAAATAACCCTGAAATTATAGCAAATTAGTGACAACAGCATATTGATAAAGTCTTATTTTTGAACAAGTAGAGTTCACTCTTGATGCAGATGGCTTAGTGTTAGGACATCTTTGAGTAGATGCATTATATTATTAGATTAAATATGAAAATTCATATCACCAGCTTCTCCAACTGAAATTATTCTACTGCAGTCAAGAAAAAGAACAGTCATGATATTTTATCAGTCATGATAATTGTTTTAGAAAAGCCAGTTTAATGCACCAAAAATCTCTAGGTAATATGTAAGGGGGTATATATTGATACATTCTATAGCATGATATATACTGCTATTGTTCCCAGGGAAAACGAGCTCCATTCACAAATTTTGACCCATCCACTCTCCTTCCTTCATCCCGGGACTACTGGACTTATTTTGGCTCTCTGACTCACCCTCCTCTTCATGAAAGTGTGACCTGGTTCATCCTTAAGGAGAGCATCACTGTCAGCCCTGAGCAGGTATCAATTAAAATGAATTTGCTTCTAGTGAAGAATCCCAGAGTTTTCAAAAAATAAAATAAAAACAAAAGCCCATGCAATAACTGTTTTAATTGTATGCAGAAAATAGATGCATGAGGTTCAAAGTTGCTGTTGTTCTTCATAAAGAAAAACCAAACTTGTTAGATGGCTTCCTCAAATGTCAGGAAAAAACAATGAACTCTTCTCGGAACTTCTACTGTGGCTCTCAGGTGGCCTAACTAAACAGTTTGGTTTTTCCAGCTAAAGTTTTAAAATATCCAACAAAGTACCTTTTTGTTTATTGTTTGTAAAGATGCTGCTGCTTATTGATGGAACAACTACTTTCCTGAGCTGTCTTGTGTTTCTCACACCTTTGTGCCCTGTCTTTAAGTGACGCTTGTTGAGAAGAGTCATTGTACACCAAGTGCTGTGCATGGATTAACCCATTTAATCTTAACAACAGATCCCCAATAGAAGATGTTATATGAAATTAAGGCATGATGAGCTGACATACTACTTGCACAAGCTCCCCAGCTAACAAAGAAAAAGCTGGTGTTCTGACAGAGCCAACAATGCCTCATTTAGGCAAAATACCTGGTAGAGAGGCAGGAAAACTTCCTGTCCACTAAGACAACCACCGCTGTCCTCAACTGCTTTCTAAACAGCGGTGCGCTAACTTCTCTGAAAACAAAGTGCTTTCTGAGACCTTAACAGCTTTTCATCCTTCAAACATCTCACCCCACAGCTGCAACAACTCCGCAGTATCCTGTCAAGTGCAGATGGAGAGGCGGCTGTTCCTATTCTGAGCAACCACCGTCCAACCCAGCCCCTGAAGGGCAGAACAGTGACAGCTTCATTTTGAGACCCAGCAAGGAGTGAGTTCAAGATCAAGACCAGGCCCCTCTTCAGCTATGACCCAGTAAAGTAATCACTTTCAAGAAACAAAATTATTTCAGTGCTAGCAATACAGCATACCTGCAAGTTTAATCCATAGAACTAAAATCCATTTATTTTGATTCTTTATGCTTAATGCAAATTAATTCATAAGCTTGCCATTTGCAATCTTTGAGTATGTACCTGTGCTTAAATCCACCTTCTTTTTGTGGAATGCTTCATAGTATAATTACATTAAGAGATTCGTTACCTTGCCAATCTCTCCATTTTACTTGAACCAATAAAATGGCTTTATCTCTTCTTCTTGTCTATTGTGTATTTGGGAGTCCTGCTCCTTTCTGAGTGGAGATGGAAGAGTGGGTGGGGAGGTGGGTGGATGGGAGTTGAGGGGAAGAAATGGGAAGAGAGGACGGAGGAGAAACTGGTCACTATGTAAAATAAATAGAAAAATGCTAATAAAATAAAATAAAAAATTTAAAAAACGAGTTTTCTCCTCCATTTACGGTCATAAATCTTAAATAACTTAGTCCAGTCTTTTGTCTCAAATGTAAGCTAAGAGCATCCAGGAATGAAACGCTGACTCATCTATTTGACTTAAGATGGCCTCTGGATTTAGTGCTTTTTTGTTAGTACAACACTGTCTTCATCTGTACGCTCTAGGATTAGAAGAAAAAAAGTGCCTTCTGTACAGGAAGATGGTATGTCTGGTATTGTTTCCATTCTTTCTCCATTGGCAAGGCCAGTGCTTTTCTGCCATTGTTATAACTGACGAGTTTGTAAGGGCATTCTGTATTTTAAAAGTGAAAGGGGCTGAGAAGATAGGGCAGGCAGTAAAGTGCTTGCCACTCAAGCTCAAGGACCTGAGTTCAATCCCAAGAACCCATATGAAAAATACAGTTATGGTGGCATAATTGTAATGCCAGTACTGAGGAGGTGGAGGCAGGCATATCTCGGGGGCTTTCTGGCCAGCTGCAGACAGTGAGTCATATTGATTGCTTTTATGTGTACACTGTGTGGGTGGGGGTGGGTGGGAGGGTGTACATGTATGTTTAGGTGTATGTGGAGGTCAGATGTGTTCCTCAGTTTACCTCTATTTTTTTGAGACAAGGTCTTTTTCTGACTCTGGTGTTCACTGATTTGGCTAGATTGACTGACCAGTGAGCTCCAGGGTCCTCCTGTCTGTCTCCCCAGTGCTGGTGTTACAAATAAAAGCTCCCATATCCAGTTCTTGTGTGAGTGATGGGGATCTGAATTTAGCCCTCATCTTGTGTTGTAAGCATTTCACAAGCAGATATCTCTCCAATCCCAATAATTACACTTTGATTCTAAAGCCATCCTGAGAGCCACAGAAAAAGGAAAATTAACTTAATTTGAGACATTCATGATGAAAGGATGCTCAGGATCTATATTTTAAACATTTTCTGGAAAACAAGTAATTTCAAAATAAGTCTCAGAGGAAGGACCTAGAAATTACTTTATTCTATAACCTGAGTATTGTTTTTTGTTTAAGGCTAAAATGGATTCCAGGATTTATTTATGTTATGTGAGTCTCATAATGGGAAGGATAAAAGTGTGAGAGGAGACACATGAATGTCACCAATCTGCTCCCCCTATGCCGAATACCCTCAGGAAGTTGGCTTCCTTCTTGCTCCTTCATGGGGTTTCCATGCTTCTTTAAAGCTACAGATAAAGAGGTCATGTCCAGACATGGAGGAGCTTTTGGACCATCTGAGGATTCACTCACTTCCCTTCTATTCTGTGCCTTCTCTGCTTGCTGACTTTGGGTGGAATATTGAACAGCCTGCAAGAATTCTATGTTATTTTTAAGAAGTTTGGCAGCCGACTTTTATGCCAAATTCCCTGGGACTTTCGGAAAGGCCTAGGAGAATGGTTTTATTTCAACTTCAATTTCCTCTGCTGTGTATTCAACCAGGTTATGAACTCAGATCACTCTGCCTTTTGGGATAAAGTCAGCTGCTCAACAAGTGTGCCTTCACCACAATGGAAGGATCTAGATCAGTGGTTCTCAACCTTCCTATGCTTCAATACTTTAATACAGTTCCTCATGTTGTGGTGACCCCCAATCATAAACTTATTTTCGTTACTACTTCATGAATGTAATTTTGCTACAGTTATGAACCATAACAGAAATATCTGTGTTTTCAAATGCTCTTAGGTGACCCCTGTGAAAGAATCATTTGATCCCCAAAAGGGTCCTGACACACAGGTTGGGAATGGCTAATCTAGATGATCTACTGATATCTTTTTTTTTTTTTTTTTTTTTTTTGCTGAGATGAGCCAGTGTACTAGGAGAACAGATCTAATAGAGTGAGGTGAAGAAAAACCATCTTTCAATATAAAATGAAATATTTCCAGGGCTGAGGGAATGGCTCAGTGCACAGAGCACTTGCTGTGTAAGTCTGAGGATCAGAGTCTGGATCCCCAGAAGCCACATTAAAACCATAGCAGGTGTGGTGACCATCAGGTATCCCTTGAGCAAGCTAGCTGGCTACCAAGCTTAGTCAAATGAGAGAGTCAAGTGTTCTCCTCAATAAATATAGTGGAGGACAATCATGAATACGACTAACCTCAGCTTTCAGCATCCACCTATACATGTGTATATACACTTATATGCTCCTACACAATGCAAACATTCATATGCACATGCATGAATATACACATGCACACACACTACACACATAAACAGGCAAAAGGAAAGAAGAAAATCAGTACATCTCTATGCAGAGAAGTAGATACTGGAGCCAGAGCATAAGCACTGGCTGGGTTAACCAGACATGGAGTCACAGTGTGTCTTCTCATACCCCTTCATTTAAGGTACCATTTTTAGAAACCATCATAATTGAATTTGCATGATGCAGTCCATTTGGACCAGCTGTGAAGAGAACACAGATATAATAAGCATGAATAAGAATTGCTTTCAAAGAGGCAAGAAAACACGATCCCCTGCAAAATTCTCAAGTCAAGTACAAGCTATGTTTTCTGTAAACCTGTTCTCAATCAGTTTTTAAAGATTACACAGGGTCAAATGAAGCAAAGAAAAACAGTACGGTAGTGATTTTAAGTTAAATCAAATTCAGCACTCTGAAGGACAAAGGCATCATTCTGTAATATCACAATACATGTAAAGCATTCAAAAAGAATTCCAATGTTCCCCTTGAGCAAAATAGACAAGAATTTTAGTAAAGGTAACTGAAGGCCAATATCTGACTTTATGCACAAAAAAAGCAAATGGGTAGTATGCATGATAAACCAGATACTTATGACATAACTCATGTGAGATGAACTTTGACTCAAGGAGAGAGCCACCAGGGAGCAGTTCATACTGCAAAGAACACCATCCCATCAGACTATTGTCGCTGAGAACTTGATTTTACAGGCACTCTTTGGAGGAATCAATCTTTCCATTGTAAGAATATAACTACTCTGTAACTCCATGTTTTAAAAAACAATATATACAAATGAACTCAGTTAAACAAAGATAGCTATGGTGAGGTTAAAATGCCTTAGGCATTAAACAGACAAAAAACCATAATCACATCTCACTATACCCCACATTTAAACAATTACAAAACCCCTGTTCACCTATGTACTCAGACTTCTCCATCACCTCATATACTGCTCAACATTTCTCTCTGATTTTCTGGCATCTACCTCATCATTGGAGAAAGAAGTCACTGCTTCCCCCGAGGCCATTATCCATACCAACTCAATTCAACTGCTTCTAATGTCACCAGACTTTTAACTATGCCCTGCATTCAAAGTCCATTTTAAGTAACCACTTTGTATAAAACCTCTCACTTCCTTCTTGCAGTGAAGCAAATTAAAATTTCCTTAAAATTTGCCCTGAAGATCTGTCATGTGTTTTAACCTAACACTCCAGACTCATCTCTTACCACTTTCCTCAAGTGAATTGTACTCCAGCCACTGAGCCGTGTCCTGGAGTCCCTGAATAAGCTATACTATCACACACTGTGGTGCCTTTCACACTCCCAGAACAGGCTTCATGGTGCCTATTTCCTTCAAGACTAAACAAATACCTGCTGTTTGAAATTTTAGGCACTCTGACAATGGAACAACTATATGAGAAGATTAATATTGATCGAATTATTCAGTTTATTACTTTTCTTTTTTTTTGTTTTTTTTTGTTTTGTTTTTCGAGACAGGGTTTCTCTGTGTAGCTTTCAGTTTATTACTTTTCTTATCCTCATTTTACTATTTAAAAAGATAGTCAGTTTAAGTGCCAGGATAACAGTCTTAGAAAAACTTGTTAAACCTGTAAGAATTAATTATAGAGAAATTCAAATTCAGACAGAAGAAATTAACAGCAAATATCCCAAAAGCGATAGAATTGATCTTATAAAGAGAGCTGATTGGATCTTGCCTCTCCGAACCAGAGCTAATTCCTGTATGTGTATCTTTTTATAGTGTTTCTGTTCTGCCTTTTCATTGGTTGTAAACCCAACCACATGACCGCCTCGTCACGGCCTGTCTGTATAGATCTCCAGCTCTGGTTCAGAGAGGTAGGACCACCGCAGGAAGAAGGGTAAAGTTTTAGCTTTTAGCTCTGACCTCTTGGCTTTCTTTTTAGCATTGGTTCTGTGTTTCTTATTTAATAAGATGGTTGGTTACATCTACAACCTGCTTCAATTAAGAAAAGCCCATTTTCCTGCAGGTAGTATCTACATAGATCCTCACGCCTAAGCAATGAGAGTTCCAGGCTATGTCCTACATTTTGAGTCCTAAAAAAAGCACAAGAAAACAAAACCAAGGTCACTGAATCACCTATAATGCTTCCTCTGTCTCTCAGCATCTGACTCTCAGACCAGCACAACAGACCTGAATATCGGTTGTCGTGACTAATGACCAGATCCTAATAAAATGCCCCTCCAGTTCTCTACACCTGTGTTCTAGGAACAAAGGCAACTGTGACTAAGTGACACAAAGGCTACCAGGTTACACCAACACTGATGCTGGAGACTAACTGGGGGAAGGGGGATGATCTGTAGTAAGAGTGCTTGAGCAAAAGCAAGCCCACAGTCATCACTCTTGCTTGCTGGCATATATGCAAGCTGAAATTTGCAAACAGATTCTTGCAAAACAAACTGCTATTCCCAGTAGAGAGCCAAGTATGTGCTTTCTCGTTTGCTTGTGTGCTCCAATTTATGGTTCCATGGCTTCTCACAAATTTGTGAATATTCACAGCAACTACACATGGCAGCTGAGGAATATTGTACAATTTTAAACAGCCCACCCTAACCCTTACACTTGAATATTAGGTG